CGGGCGTACTCGAAGAGGGCCATGCCACTCATGGACTTTGTGGCCCCGCTGTCCACGATCGCGTAGCCCCAGAGGTTGGCCAGGCCCAGCGCAGTGTTCAGCGGGATGGCCAGGACCCACCCGTCGTCGCTCTCCCAGTAGGACACGCAGGAAACGGTGGCCTTGTCCGCGGCCTCCTCGACCGCCTCCTCGTAGCCGATGTTCATGTTCCCGTTGCCACTGCCCCCCTGTCTGGTCTCTGGAGGGGCCATCCACAGCTTTGTGTCCCAGCTGCTGGCGGAGGAGACACCTCATGCCCGCGCCGCGGCCCTGCCGTAGTCGCCCTGGTCGATCGCGTGCCGGGCCGGCTGGGGCTCTCGGGGGGGACGGCGCACCCTTGTCGCCACGGCCTCGACCCTTGGGCCCCCCCCGCGCGCCCTTGCCCGCGCCCTTCTGTGCCGGAGGCAGCGCGGCCAGGCCCGAGACCGGGTAGTAGCCGCGGGCCCGGGAGACGTCGCAGAGCAGCGTCCTGGCCTGCTCCCAGGTGCGGTTCACTGCATCCGCCTCCTGCGCGGCCAGGGCCTCGTGCTCCTCCAGTGCCGCAACGTCCTCGTCTGCATGTGCGTACTCATCCGGCGGCAGCTCGAGGTCGGTTCCGTGCTCGTCGTTCTGCCCGAGGGCCTCATCCGTGTAGTGAGCTGCGCGTTGATTGTTCTGCTTTTTGTTTTTGTCTCGCACGGCCAGGTCGTTCTCTGCCCACGCGTCTCGCAGGCGTCTCCTCACATTCTCAAGCTTCCAGTCTCCCTGGATAGTGCTGCTCACCACGGCTCTCTCCGAGGGATCGAGATTGCTGTTGCGCCAGAGGAGGACACCCCGCACGGCACTGGGCAAGATGTCTCCCACATCCGGCACCAGCAGCTTGTATGCCCGTTGGAGTTGATCGTAAGCTTCCTCCCCCGTCTCGATCCACTGTGGCATGCTCTGTCCCAAACGCCGTGTCAGTGCACTCCGACCCTGGCCTGCGTAGAAGTACGCGTCCGTCTTTTCGCCGATGTCGGACACCACCTGAGTTCCCAGCTCCCTCTTGAACGCTTCTATCAGGTTGTTGGGGCCGTCCGCTGTGGCAATCGACTTCGGCTCGAGTGGGGCTCCGTCCAGATCCAGGCCAGCTTCCCGAGGCAGTCGTAGGGCGAAGCGCTGCTTGGCAGACCCCTGCGGCAAGGTGGCCGCGAGCCTGGGTTCCAGCAGTGGCCTCACCTCTTTGGAGGAGCCCAACGTGAGCAGCTCCACCGCAATGGCATAGTCCTCCAACGTCTCGGCCTTCCCGTTCCATGTCGGGATGGCCACGTCTGTGCGCAGGGCGGGGGCTCCGGAGGATCCAGCCATTGCGTGCCAAGCCTCGGCTCTCGGAGCCACGGCTCCGCCACCAGATGTGATGTCAGTACTTTCTCGAAGCGCCGGTCACGGCGATGCACTGTTTTTACAGTCCTCTAGCTACGGCCGTAGCATGCTCCAGCATGGCTGCATATATTACGCTATGCACAACAGGCAAACCTAGCGAAGACGAGACAAGCTCTCTATGCTCTCTGCACACCGGCCGTGACTTACATGGTTCACACCTCCGCTCCTCCCCTTGCTCCCGCACGGGCGCCGCGCTCCGGCACGGGTGGGCTGGCGCCGCCGGCCGCGACTTTGACGGCGCTCCAGGCGCGAGAGGCGAGCAGAGCATCGGCGGCGCGCCCGGGGGGTGCAGTGAGCGGTGGCAGGCTTTCTCAGAATGCGGCGGGGCTTCTCGGAAGGCCTCCTGCCTCCCCAGAAGCTCAGTTCGTATGTCTTCGGAGGAGGCGCAGCAGCCTTCACGGAAGGCGCGAGGGCTTCCCAAGAAGCTCCGTGGCCTCCTGAGAAGGCCTGCCCCCTCTCACGCCTCCCCCTCGGATGCGCCGCCACAGGAAAGGAAGGGAGACCCCTCGGCTCGCCCTCCTCCTCCATCTCCTCCTCCATCTCCTCCTCCTCCTCCTCCATCTCATGGTCCTCTTGCTCGTTATCCTCGTTGTCGTCCTGGTCGCGCCTTCGGGGCCATCTGAGCGACGAGGCGAAGCGAGGTCGACGGCGGGGACAGGCGCGCACAGGCTGCCCCCGCAGGGTGGCGCGCGACAGCGCCCTCCTCCCCGCGCAGCGTGCCGCGTGCGCGGCTCGCGTGAGCCACCGCGTGGGGGCCAGCCTTAAGTCGGGCGTGTCCCTCCACAGGAGGAACGTCCCCAACTAGTCCAAGCATCGTACGGGGACGATTTTTTGGGGTATCCTTTTTTGGGAACATTTTTGAGCTTTTTTTCTGTTATTTTAAAGTTTTCGTCCAACATCCGCCAGCAGGGGGACACGCCCGACCTAAGGCCAGCTTGCGAAGGCCCGCCCTGGGCGCCCGAGGGCATCCGCGAGCGGAGGGTCAGCTGCCCTGTTGGATTTGGCCCCATGTGTGGACCCGGCGTTGGGAACCTCCTGCGTCTGCGTGCGATTGATCGTCGTGGCGGAGGTGGGCGGAGGAGGAGGAGGAGGTGGGCGGAGGAGGAGGAGGAGGAGGAGGAGGAGGAGGAGGAGGAGGAGGAACAGGAGAAGGGACAGAACGGGAACACGGAGGAGTGCCGGCAGATGGCTGTTGTACGTTTCGGAGCGTCAGCGGCGGAAGACAAAGAGGAAGGTACCAAAGGGGGGCCCAGGTCGAGTCTCACAGGCCACCTTGCACCCTGTCGGGGGCCCGTACTTCCAGCCGCGGCTCGACAGTCCTCGGGGGGGTCACGGCCAGAATGAATCCCCATAGAGGGCCCGCGATAGCCCGCAGCGGGCGTCCAGGGGCATCCGTGAGCGGAGGACGGCGCTATTCCTTCAACGTCCTATACCAGAGACAGAGAAAGACAGAGAGAGAGAGTGTGTGAGAAAGCGAGACAGAGCGAGAGAGAGAGGGATACAGATAATACCTTGAGTTCGACTAAGACATCTTGGTCGGCATGAACATGTTAGACAACGTGAACCCCAACCAGTGCGTTATTGCATTGGGGAGGTGAAAGCTCTGCGGTGTAAGCTATGTGATGGGAGCCACGTCGTGTAACCGTGTGAGCTAGGTGGTGTGAGCTGTGGAGGATGTGATGTGAGTTAAGGCGTATAAACTAGCCGGCTTGCACTGGAGGTTAAAGCTAAGGGGTGTAAGCTGCGTGGTGTGCGATGTGCGGCGCAAGCTCTGTGGTTTAAGCTGCGTGGTGGAAGCTATGCCGCACAGGCTCAGACAGGCCACGGGCCGCCCAGGAGACGCCCACGAGGCGCCCACGAGCGGCCACCTGTCGAACACCAGCCTAGCCCCCAAGCGCGGGGCGCCCTCGAGGCGGCACCGGCCGGCAATGTGGCGAAAGCTCCGCATGCCCCCCAAGCGCGCGGCGCCCACGAGGCGCCCACGAGGCGGCACGGGCCCGCAGCGTGGCGAACACCCAACATGTCCCCCAAGCCAGGGTCGCCCACGAGGCGCCCACAAGGCGGCACGGGCCCGCAACGGGGTGAACACCCAGCATGCCCTCCAGGCGCGCGGTGCCCACGATGCGCCCACGATGCGGCACGGGCCCGCAGCGTGGCGAGCATCCAACATACCCCTTCAGTTCCTGAAGCAAACAGAGTAAGAATCCCGAAGTGCACGCACAGCGTGGGGTATGTTCGTTTGGATGCCCGCGCGGATTTCTTGGATCGGCGCTGTTCCCATTGGCCGCCTACGTGGGGCCTGGGCACACGGGGTCGGAGGATCTCGCCGAATCGTCGATGCAGCTCGATGTTGAGCTCGATGTTTCTCCACGTCGGCGTCGCCGATGCATCGCCGATGCGTCGCCGATACATCGGCGATGCGGCGCGATCCTCCGACCCTGTCTACTCGGGCCTCACTTGGGCGGCTTCCATAACGAGAGAGAATTGGGCCGTGCACGCCAGAGGAGCGTTGGCAAAGCGGTGAAACGACCGTCCACAGCGCGCTTCGATCCTCGTACGCCTTCCCCCCCTGCCTCTTGTACTCGCCCCCAGGGCTTGTGAGGGCGAGAGTTCTCCTTCGTGCCAGCTCCCGGCTAAGCCCCGACAGGGTATGACGGGCGGGCGGCCCTTCACGGGTGGGTCGTACGGGCGGCTCTTGGCGGGCCGAGCGGGCTGTGCGGGACCTGACAGCGGACGGGCGGGCGTTCCAACGAGTGGGTGGGACGGGCGGGGCGGGCGGATGGGCCCCGACGCTCGGGTCGGGCGCGCTCGTCTTGCAGGTCGGGCCAGCGGGACATGCAAGCGGGCGGATGGGCCCCCAGCCCAGCGAACCAGCGACCGCACGACTCCCGATTGGCGAGAGCGAGACGTAGACTGAGCGAGGAGTTCCAAGCGAGCGCGTGATTTTGAGTGAGTTGTATGGGAGTCCCAGGCGAGGCAGCTTTCCTCAATCTGTGGGTGGAGTTCTGGGGCGAGATCGGGATTCCTGGTAGGCGAGCGCGCGATCCTTCAACACGTTGAGAGTAGTCGCCAGGCAGGCTCAGACCGGAGCGCGATTCCCGAGAAACGTGTGAGGAGATATGGAGCAGGAGCCCGTGTCGTTGTAGTCGGGAGGAAGGGTCGCAGTTTGAGCATTAATCAGAGGCCATTAACATATGTACACGTACGCGGTTAGCTTCCCCTGGAGTGCGTGTCAACGCGGACGTTCGTGCAGGCAAGACCGCGGAGGGCGTACATGTACATATGTCGTTGCTCGCCCAATTAAGGCCACCCTCGACAAGAAACAGGGTGCCAGCGACGAGGGTGCGCTTCGGTTACACAGCTCGAATGGGCAGCGGTGGGGCGATGCTCTATCATTGTTTCTAGGAGTGCCAGTTCCACGGCGACGATGCTCAAGCCAGCGCTGTTGCATGCGCCTTTGACGATTACCAGGGGGTCTGAATTATGAGCCCTTCGAAGGATCATCATACAGGGCTGCATTGCGTGCTTACGGTGTGGGGAAGACGGGGCGTTGGTGCGAGGAAGACGGGATCAAGAAGTTGCAGCGCAAGGCGTTTTTCAAGAACGAGGATCCCTCCTGCTACTTCGCCGTTCCTCTCTTTGTCGGCGTGGCCTCTTCCCACCCTCGTGTCGCGATACTGTCTCCTTGTTTGATGCTGTCTCCTTCTTTCCGCGCCCACCTATGAAGCTGTACGCGTGTTGTGTGCCATCGTACTGTTTTGTGCAGCCGGTCCTGCTTCAATTCCTTTTATATGCGTAGACCACGTTGTTTTTTTGTTTTCATTCCTTGACCTTTCTGTAGGTGCGTATGTAGACATGTACAACCATACATCTATATCCTTTTCTGTATGCCATCCTGTCCTCTCTCCGTACCACTCCCGCTTCCCTGTTCTTCAATTCATTTTTTAAAGAAAAAGGAATGCTATGATGAGGTGATTCGTTGCATGGTCTCTGTCAGAAGTTGTAAGAAGAGATCACCTTCTGCTCTTGACACATCCCCACAGTTCAATGTGCGCTTCGCTTCTCTTCTTGAGTGCCACCCGATTGACTGCCACCCCTCTTCGCAGCTCCTAATTTATCCATCCATCCATTCCGCATTCCTTCGTTCCCACCGTTCTCTTCCTCTGCCGTGGATCGAGAGATCGTGGGAGGGCCTTTGTTCGATTGGCTTTGAAAAACGTACGTGTCGCATTTTGGAGTTCGCTTTGGTTGATACTCCCCATCCTGGTCGACCTCGTTTTCGACGTTCTCGTCCCCCTCTGCCCTCCTCCAATCCTTTCTAAAGCCTTGAGCACCCTTTGTGCTGGGCAATCCTCCATCCCCCGAACATTGTGCACTGCCCCACCCCAGATTCCTACAATGTAGGTCCCCAAAGGCGAGCACTCATCTATGTACACGTACAGGACGATGTCGCCGTCGATTCCGTGATGATTGAGTTCGGTTTTCTTGTCGTAGTTGCCTTGTCTAAAGTTGTCGTGTTGTGTGCTAGCAACGATCTCTTCATGTTGAAATTGCCTGGGAGCCACTGTGGGCATGCACTGTTCATCAAGCCACTTTCACCACGTCCGTTCAATCGCAGGATGAGTTCTCCATGTCGATGATCAACCACACGACCGTGGACTCTCCCTCCTTCTGGGTGGCCGCTTGTGCTGGAGAAGCAGTCATTTCGCGGGCAAAGTGAAAGGTCAGGGGATCAGGACGAACACGCAGAGGCACGAGTGACACAGCTGCAGTGAGTAAGGGTCACCCGCAGCAAGTCTTATCGAGGCTTGCATGTTCTGTCTTGTCATTGTGGGCCTCTTCGCTCGCCGTCCAGCACAGTGTGTGCACATTGTTCTCCCAATGCTGTTTCGCCTTCGCATCCTTGCCTTCCTGGCAGACTTGGAGAGGTACTATCTAACATTAGTTCACATCCCTCCTCAAACGCGCCTCATCCTCTAGCTCTTCCTCTCTCCACGCCTCGCCCCCTATTCCGTCTACCTCCCCCGGTCGATTTCCTCCTCCTCCTCCTTCTCTTGCTGTCTCTCTCTCTCTCTCTTCTCTCTCTCTCTAAGTCTCGCTGTGTATGTATACATAACTACACACATACGCATGTTCGCAAGCGTTGACCCGAAGCAGTGAGCTATTCAACTCGTGACATGAAAGTTATGCGGTGTAAGCTATGTGGTGTAAACTCTGTGATGTAAGCTGGATGGCACAAGGTATGTGGTGTAAGCCCTATGTGTATGTATATATATATGGTGCACGCTATGCACTGCAAACTACGTGGAGCAATCTATATGACATAAGCTATGTGGTGCCAGCTACGTGGTGCAAGCTATGCAGTTTACGCGATGTGGTGTAAGCTATGTGGTACAAGACATGTGGTGTCAGCCATGTGGGCCAGCATACGTGGTGCGAGCTATTTCGTGTACGCTTTGTGGTGCACGCTATGTGGTGCAAGATGAGTGGTGCGGCGACGCATGGGAGCGGTGGTCGCCGGGCCCGCGCACGGGCATTCTGTTGGGAGCCATGGGGCGAACGGAGCCGACGGGACTGCACACGGGCTTGGTTCTTTAGAGGAGTAAGGAGCCCTGGGTGCACGCACTGTTTGGGGACTACATCTATCTATCTATCTATCTATCTACCTGTCTATGTAGATACACGCTTCTATGACTCGCCCCCTCCGACTCTCCTGTCCCGCTGCGCTCTCCGCTCCCCTCGTCCTGTCGCGCGCTAGCTCGTGCCCTCTCTCCTCTCCCTCACTAGCTTAATTCCTCTCTCCCCCTTTCTCTATTCCTTCCTCTCGTTCTCTCGTTCTCTTTCACTTTCTCTCTCTTTCTCCCTCTCACTTATTCTCGTTCTCTCTCTCTCTCTCTCTTTCCCCTCGCTTTCACGTTTTTTTGTTTGGTTTCTCTATCTCTCTCTCGCTCTTTGCCTTTCCGACTCTCCGACTCGCTTGGCGTTCCTTTCGTTCTCGGTCCAACCTTTTCCTCCCTCCATGGCTTTATATTGTTCCTCTTCACTTACCTCCCCTCCATGCCAGTTTCCTTCCGGTTACCCGCATTTCATTTATGTTTTCACTTATGCCCCCCACCTCTCTCATCATGTAGAACTGCGCTCTAGCTCCTTACTGCAGTCCAGACGATAAGGCAGGTCGCGTACGGGTTGTGCTACATCGCGGACTCCCTTAGTGTGGATTCTTCCATCTTCTGATCTCGCCTCAGCCGCATGTCTGCTCAGGATGGGCGTAACCGCAAGAAGGGCAAGGGCCTCTCCCAGGACGAGGTGGCCCTTGTCGACACGCAGGCGCTGTGCTCGTCACTGCTAGCGACTCACCCTCTACTGTCGCGTCTTTCTCCTCGTGGTCCCCCCTGGTACAGTCACCCAAACATGTCGCCCCTCTCTCATGCCGACATGATCTTTACCGAAGTATTCAGTGCTGTAGACGTCGCCGCGAAATGGGTACATAGTTATCACAACGTAGGTCGCTTTGCTCGGTCTTGCAAGTGCGGATCTTGTTGTCACATATTGAGCTCAGCGAAAGCTGTAGCGGACGGTCGACGGGTTTCCTGTGGCATGTTGGGTCGACAGAAGATGGAGCATGAGGACGAGGAGGACAGCGAGGGCCAGAGTAAACCCAGGATGCGCCAACGATGCTGCAATTCAACCACCTTCGAAGGAACAGCCCTCCACCCGTGCAAGTAGGTGTTACCTACACGTATTCAAGAGGCTTCCGCTATTCCACCGACACCCAGAACACGAAATGAACGGCTTCCGATTTCGTATGCGTTGTTTGCAGTGTCTCGTCGTGCTTCCTGCGTTTGAATCGTTGTTCCTGGTTTGTCCCTCTCTTCTTCCGCGTCAGTTGCGGCGCTTCCTGGCGGCCTTTTAGGGGAGGCCTCGGGTGCAGCCTCTCGGGGGAGTTTTCAGGGCTCTTGGGTTTTCGTGACCCTCTGAGGGCTTCTTGGGGGTTTTCGGGGGCCATCTTTGAGGCATGTTGGGCGTCTTTGGGGCCGTGTTCTGGGGGAAGGCCCCCTGGGCCCTTACGAGTTCCCCTCTCGGGCATCCCTAGCCCCTCTTTAGGCCTTCTTGATTGCCTTTTTGGCCATCTTGGTGGCCTCTTCGGCAGCCTTGGGGTCCTCTTCATCTCTGGGCCCTCTTGGGGGCCTCTTCGGCCGTCTTTGGCCATTCTTGCAGGCTTCTCGGGCCGTCTCGGGGTTCAGATCCCCGTGCTACGGCGAGAATGCGAAAATCAGTCAACAGCAATCGAACCATCCATGATTTTTGCACCTTGAGGCCGTCTTGTGGGTCCACTTGGGCCCTCTTTTGGCGTCTTCCAGGCCTCTCGGACCGTCCTGAGTCCATCTTGGATGTTCTGGAGGCCACTCCAGCTGGTTGGAGCCCTTCTTGAGCCATTTTGGAGGCTCTTATGCCGTCTTAGGGCTGTCTTGGGGTCCTCTTTTCTTGGGCCGTCTTGGAGCCTTTTGGAAGCCCGGAAGGCGAGACTGCTAAAATCATGCCACATTTTTTAGTGATTCCGTGATTTTGCCTCTTGGGGCTTTCTTGGTGGGTCTCTTGGAGCCCACTAGTGGCGTCTTGGAGTCTCTTGGGCCAACTTGAGGACATCTTTGGGCCGTCGTGGGGCGCTTGAGGACATCTCAGGCCGTCTTGGGGACCTCTGGCCTCAAAGTCACGCGAAAAGCCTCAAGCTTTCTGCGAGACCCCCCAGGAAATCAGGCAGTGCGGGGTCCCGACCCCTTGGTGCTCCATATATTCCGTGCAGAGGATCTGAGGACATTCCAAATCGTGCCTCGAGGCACGCAGGCGCGAGGCGCGCGCCCCGAAATAGTATGAGTTTCGTGGCGGGCACTTTCTCATGATGCCGGTGGGCAGCGACATATTCGAAGACGTTTGGTATTACATGTGCGGGTCGGGCGTACGTCTCCAACATGGGCGCGCAGTTCTAGTACGGTCGGACCGAAGTATACGATCGAGGTCGGTTCGCGGAGTACACCCCCATGTTCGTGTTTGTTGGATGTTCTTGTGCAGTATGGGGGAGGGTACCCTCGAATGTTCTTCAGCTTGGCCGGCGCAGGGTCTCGTGTTCTTGAAGGTTGTTTTTCCGTCTTAGGTCCGTCCGTTGTGCAAGTGTTGGTCCGACGTGCGTCTCCAACATGCGCGCGTAATTCTAGTATGTCCTTCTGCGCCCCGTGCCGCAGTAACATTTTTTTGCAGGGGTGATCACTCTGCGGCGTGGTTCTTCCGCCTTCCGCGCCACGCGCTGACATACGGACCACTTCGGGCTGGCTCAGGAGGGGCTCTGGGTTTCGTTCCGCTCCTCAGATCTGTACAGCTTCGCAGGCCTCGGGGTTGACACCAACACCAAAATCGGCGGTGTGCCTCCACCGAGGGAAGGAGATCCGGATCTCGGTGATGGTGGTAAGATCCTGGCTTTCAAGGTGACCGAAATTTCAGCACCAGCACCGAAATCTAGGATCACCTTTCCTCCTGTGGAGGCAACCCCTGGTTATGTAGGAGGAGGAGGAGGAGGAGGAGGAGGAGGAGGAGGAGGAGGAGGAGGAGGAGGAGGAGGTGGAGGCCTCCAATCTGTGCCGGGAAGCCTGCACGTGGCCGAGGCTTGCAGTGGTCTGAGAGGCCCCCTCCGTTGCCTGTTCTGCGCCCCCCCACTCGGGGGTGGACAGACCTCCTGCCCTGACCCTTGGCACGTCGATGAAGGAATTGGCCGTTTTCGAGTTGGCGAGGGGGCGTCGCGGCCGTCGTTTTTCCGGGTCCAGGTCCGTCGGTTTCCGTCCCTGGCCGTTTTCACTAAGGGGAGGTTTACTGAAGGGAGGCTTGTCCACCGCCGGCTCACTGGTGACACGAGGACTGCACCATCGAGTTTGGTTGGTAGGTTTAAGTCGGGCTTGTCCCTCTGCAGGAGGAACATTCAAAACTAGTTTAAACAATTGCCTGGGAAGATTTTTAGATAATTTTTTTTGAGTAGGGGAACGCGCCCGACCTAATGGTGGGTCGACCCTGCCAAATAAGGGGGACCCCGTTGTTCTGCGGGCTCGCGTCCTCATTCCCGGGGCAGCGTGGCCCTTGAAAGGGTCTCGAGTCCTCTCACGTGTCCCCTCCAGTCGAACTCGACTGCACCCCTCCCCCCCCATTCGACCCAACGGCCCTGGCCGTCGGCTCGGGACGCGCCCGGCCCCGCAGGACGCCAGGTACGTCGGCATGCGCGAGCAGATGGACAAGAAGGCGCGGCCCCGTCGACGACGACGACGACGACGACGACGCCGACGACGACGACGGGCGGCGGCGGCGGCCCCGCTCGCCCGCGGGGTGCCGCTGCTCTCATCGCTGGGGCGGGCCTGCATGGAGACCTCTGCCCGGGGGGGGCCCGTGCGCCGGAGCGCTGCCGCTTGCGGCTGGCGTCGGCCGCGCCGCTGGGCGCTCGCCCGAGCTGGCTGGGGTTGAGTCGGACATGTCCCTCCCTGCAGGAGGAGTGTTCAGGGATAGTCAAGAGATAGATGGGGGGCGATGTTTCGACCATTCTTCAATGCTTTCGAATCTGTTTTGATGATCTGTCATGTTCCTTCCAGCGTCCGCCTGGAGATGCCTGATCTGAGGCTGGGGATGGAGTTCGATTTCCTGCACGCCGACGTCGCGGAGGCACCGCCGACGTGGACGACGCACCAGCGATGCGTCGCCGATGCATCGGCGTTGCGGCCCGATCCTCCGACCCCATCTAGGGTAGGTTCGCGATCTGTCGACCGTCGGCGACCCCGCCGCCGGCGTTCGACGATGAACGCCGCCTGACACGCGCGTGCCCGCGCGGGCAACGCGCGGGCACGAACGACTGGCCCTCAATGACCGCCAACATTGGATGCCAATCGTACCCGTTCACATACATGAAGATAATTGAGCATACATAGGCCATTCAGCCCCCATTGAAGACCCCCTGTTGCAGACCCCCTCTTTCACCCTCCAATCAGGATCAGTCCATGTTGAACGATCTGACGTTCCAGAAGCGGCGGGTCTTTCAATCCGAGACGATCCCCGCGGTATCAGGAGCCAACGCCGGGGTGGACACGACACGATCGCGCCAGGACCGCCGAGAAGAAGTCCGGGGCGAGTAACTACACGAGACGGGCCTGGTCCTGGGACCGATTTGAGCGGAGTTTGCGTCTTTCCCCCTCCTGACAGATTCTCTAGATGCCCGAACAGTTCAGACCCCCTGGCCGCCTCCAACATATCGACTCTGTCGATTCGAATCGATTCGCTGTCGAGGATCCCGCTTTCGATTCGATTCGATTCTGGATTGCGACTTCAGTCTGGATTTCCTCGTGCAGGCCTCGGCTCTGGCCAGCCGGCGGTGATTCCGATGCCTTTTCTACTATCCCTCCTGTCGTCCTCCCCGGGTGGGGCTGGGTGCAGCGGAGAGTTTTTGTTGGGGTCGACCACGCGTTTCGTCTGGTTCTCGGAAGCGACGCTATTTTGTGTGTCTGTTTTCGTTTTGCGGCTCTCCTTCCTGGTTCTGGCGCCGTTGTTTTTCTGGTTCCGTCTCCATTTTGTCTGGTTCCGCTCCAGTCTCAATCCTGGAGCAGTTGGTTTCTCCGTTTCGGCGAGCCGTTTCTTTCTCGTTTTCATTCTTACGGTCAAGCTGTTAGCCAGCGTGGGCCCCGAACAGTGTGTTTCTAACGATAGGGGTGTGTGCAATATCGAAGACGCCTACGGCGAATCACCGCCGCCCCCTGCCTTTTTGAAAGCGCCTACGTGGTCGGAAGTTTGTTTAGAGCTCGGCCAAGCCATCGGACCACGTGTTCCCCGAGTTGGTTTGGACACCCTTGGGTGAACACGTGGGCGAGAATGAATACAAAGAACCCTCTGGGGAAGTCTTGGAGGCCATCTTGGACCCTCTTGGGTTGTCTTGGAGGCCATCTTGGACACTCTTGGGCGAACTTGGAGGCCCTCTTGGCGCCGTCTCGGAGGTTTCTTGGGCCGTCATTGGCTCATCTTGCAGGCCTTTGAGGCCATCTTGGGGCGATCTTGGGGAGCGTTTGGGCCATCTAAGGCCGTCGGAAGGCCGAAAAGAAGCTTGCTAACAGCCTTCGCAATCAATGATTCTGTCCTATTGGAGCCCTCCTGGAGAACCTCGATGAGGCCTTTTGGGCGGTCTTGGAGACCTCTTGGGGGCGTCTTGGGCCGTCTTGGGCCATTTTGGGGGCTTTTGGGCGGACTTCAGGGCATCTTGGACCCCCTTTGGCCCTCTTGGGGCCCATCTTGGACCATCTTGGGCTGTCTGGGAGGCCATCTTGGGGCGTCTAAGCCGTCTTGACGGCCCTCTAGTGGTTGTCTTGGCGGCTTCTCGGGCCGCCACGGGCTCATCTTGGAGGCCCGTGGGGCCAGCTTAAAGCGATCTTGGGCACATCTTCGGCCGAGAGGGGGCCGTTGGAAGGCCGAAAAGAAGCAGGCACCAAAGTTCTCTGGACACCGAAGATACATCACTGATTTTGGCTTATTCGGGCCCTCCTGGAGGACCTCTCGGAAGCTTCTTGGGCCGTCTTTGAAGCCTCTTGGGGGCCTCTTGGGCCGTCTTGGACCGTCTTGGAGTCGTCCTGGGCGAGTATTGCATGCACATGCTGAAACATGCACTTGTTACATGAGCATTCGCAAGAGCGCGGGTGCAAGTTTTTCATGTCTGCATGTCTGACAATTCTTGGTGCGGCACCACGTGTGTCTACGTGTTTTCGGGGCACTCGATTTTGAAACATTGTCGAAACCGAAGGTTTTTGAAGGATTGTGACATGCGCGCGCGACGACGCACGCGTGTGCACTTCGTCACGTTTTTTTGCAAGGGATTTTTGAGCACATATGATTGTTGATAAACTGATGTGCGCGCATACCTGTTGTTGCAGATGATGAGGGGCGGGCGATACGGGCCTCCCTGGGATGGTACGAATTCATATTGCAGACATACGATTGGGCAGAGCCATATGTAAAATACAAGGGGGCTGTTCATTCCGGGCGTGTGGGGGTAGATTCCACTATGTTGCTAGACAGGACTATGTTGTGCAACATGTGTGGTGTAATCCATGTTGTGCAATCTATGTTGTGCAATTTTCTGACGGGGCGGCGGCGGCCACAACATAACCGCCAGACCGACAGACAGGCCCAGACAACAGGCGGCGACGAGGTGGCGACGGGGCGGCGGCAGCGAGTACATAGCCGCCAGACGGGCCGTGAGGCCCAGACGACGGGTGGCGACGAGGCGGCGACGGGGTGGCAGTTGCGACTACATAGTCGCCAGACCAGCCGTCGGGCCCAGATCCTTAGAAAACAACTAAGATCTCCTAAATGCAAGCACTGTTTGGGGAATTTTCGGAAGCGGTGCAACAACAAAACACTAAGGCCTTGCGCCGTAACGCAAAGCTGGAGACGAATGTATGGGGCGCCCGGCTCTTCTTCTTGTGCTTCGGGCCTCGAACATCAAATAGGGCGCAGGTCGTTCGGACATCAACGTGGGCGCCCTCGCCATATTCAAGATCGTTCGGGGTCCAGCTTATCATGATACTACTACTGGGTACTGTCTGGCCAGTGAGGACGAGAATTGTGATTCTGGAAGGTAAAGCTGTAGACATAGCCAAGGGTCAGAGGAGGAACAGGTACTGATACCGCTGCTCGTCTTGAGGAGTTCTCGTCGCCATGGCTGTATCAAGTTTTATAATTATGGTCAGAACGCACCCTGGCAGAGGCCTGGGCAGGACGGGTATCGATACCTTGTCCTCCCCAAGGGACGCCTGGTTATTTTTCTTTCTGGTTGCGCTTGGGGGCTCGATAGTCAGGAAGTCATGGGGCGCAGGTCGGTCGGAGACCTGGGAGCGTACCCTCCTCAGATGCCAAACCCTTCGGAATCCACCTTCTTATGGGATTCTTTCCGCTTCCAGTCCTGGCGGGGGAGGACGAGAAATTGGTGTCTGGAGAGATCTGGAGAAACAGCCAAGGACATCCAGTCTTTTTCCCTGCCACCTCGGTCCCCGTGAGACAAGGAGAGCGCAGGTCGTTCCGACACCGAGGAGCGCGCAGCCCTGTCAGGTCAGATGCCCGGCCCCTCGGGGTCCAGTCTCTCGCGAGATTCTTTCCGCGACCGCGCGCGTCTTCGTGAGATGCCAGGCAAGACGGGGTCCAGCTTCTCGAGAGGTCCTCTCCGCGTCCAGTCTGGCTGTGCGCCGAGGTCGGGCGGCGAGATCTATACATATCCACTGCCCCTGTCCAGGCCCATCCCCTAGGCCTGGGAGCGGTTGAGGTGTAACGATTTCTGACGCCCTGCAGGAAGCGGCGAGGGCGCTGGAGAGCCTGCACTTCCTGGACGCCCCGAAGAGCAACAAGCACGTGCTCTTCCTGGACGAGGACCCCGCGCCATGGGCCGCACGCTACGCTGGGCGTCGTGACGACTGCGCGACTCTCGAGGTCCCTGGAGGCCTGGGGAGGGGGCCTGGGTCAGCAAAGGGGCCTGGCAGGTCCGCTGCCAGGGAGGGACTTGGTATCGCCTGGACGTGGGCATGTTTCCCTCGGCGAGGACCATCGAGACGCAGCATGTAGCATCTTACGGAAAATAAGCGCACGAAGCCGACAGCTGCAAGGGGAATGGACGTCCGAGCGATGGCAAGCTAATCGATGGGCTCTGTAAGCAAAAGGGACCTGGCAGGTCCGCCGCCAGGGAGGGAGGGGAGTGGCCGCCGCTGCGTCGCCGCCAGGGCAAGGAACACGGCAAGCCAGGGGGGTCCTCGTCCTCCTCCTCCTCCTCCTCCTCCTCCTCCTCCTCCTCCTCCTGTTCCCCCTCCTCCCCCTCCTGTTCCCCCTCCTCCCCCTCCTGTTCCCCCTCCTCCCCTCCTGTTCCCCCTCCTAATCCTCCTCCTCTTCCCCCTCCTGTTCCCCCTCCTGCTCCTGCTCGTCCTTCTCCTCCCCAATCTTGTACAGGCTTCTCTTGGCATCGCCCCGACGTGTGCATGCTTCTTCGTCGGGGACCATCCAGGAGCATCCTGGAGCATCTTGCAAAAGAGCTGCGCGCACGAGGCCGAAAAATGCATGGGAAGGGGACGTCCGAGCCATGGCAGGTTCTCGGTCAGCCCAACGCCCGCATCGCCCCTCCGAGCTTCCCCGGGCCCCCTCTTGCCCTCCCCCTGCGGTAGTCTGCCGGGGGCGTCTCAGAGGTGGGTGGGGACCAGGGGGCGTCCCAGAGGTGGGTGAGGACCCGTGTGTGTGTGTGTGTGTGTGTGTGTGTTCGTGTGTGTGTGTGTGTGTGTGTGTGCGTGTGTGTGTGTAGAGAGAGATCTTTCACATATTCCATGCCACCTCTTCTTCTTCTTCTTCTTGTTCTTCTTCGTCTTCTTCTTCTTCTTCTCCTTCTCCTTCTCCTTCTTCTTCCTCTTATTATCCGTAAGGGCTTCGCCCCTGCCGCTGGCCCCCTCTCTCGGATAATGGGCTATGCAAGGGCTGAATCATGAGGCTTCGGCGCCACCGTGAAGCAGCATCGGCAAGAGAACTTGAGATTCTGATGATATTGTTGAACTCAGTGTTGCGTTTTGAACTTGCCCCCGTATGCTGTGCACTGAGGTTTCCCACATAATTTCGGAGACGTGGCAACTCCAATTGGTTTTTCGACCCTGACCCTGCTGATCTGCGTGAGGGGTGCCGCCGAATTTCAGACATGTGGCAACTCCAATAGGTTTTTCGACCCTGACCCCGCGGTCTGCGTGAGGGGTGCCGCCGGATTTGAGAAATATGGCAGATTCCATGTGTTGTTCGACCCTGACTCCGCCGATCTGCGTGAGAGCGCCGCCAAATGTCAGACATGTGGCCAATCGCATCGGTTTTTCGACCCAGCCCGCCGATTTGCGTGAGGGGCGCCGCCGAATTTAAGACATGTAGCAAGTCCCATAGGTTTTTGGGCCCTGACTCTGCTGATCTGCGTGGCAAATTCTATCGTTTTTTCGACCCTGACCCCGCTGATCTGCGTGAGGGGCGCCGCCGAATTTCAGACATGTGGCCAATCGCATCGGTTTTTCGACCCTGACCCCGCCGATCTGCGTGAGGGGCGCCGCCGGATTTCAGACATGTGGCAAATCCCATTGGTTTGTCGACCCTGACTCTGCCGATCTGCGTGAGGGGCGCCGCCGGATTTCAGACATGTGGCAAATCCCATTGGTTTGTCGACCCTGACTCTGCCGATCTGCGTGAGGGGTGCCGCCGGATTTTAGGAATGTGGCAGATCCTATGTGTTTTTGTTGACCCTGACCCCACCGATCTGCGTGAGGGGTGCCGCCGAATTTTAGAAATGTTGCAAATCCAATGTGTTTTTGGACCCTGACCCCGCCGATCTGCGTGAGGGGTGTCAATTTCGACCCCCCTAGAAATTTTGAGAACCCTCCCAGGAGACGCTAAATTTGCTGGTTTTCGGCTCCCCCCCCTCGCGCGGTCTAGAACAAGGAACAGTGATCAGCGTAAAGCAATAATTGTAACAGTGGAAATTGGAAACTGGAACTGGCGCAGGGAACAGCAAATACTGGTCCTACAGCCTGGTGGCCCCACAAGGGGGCAGGCGGATGTTTTTTCTTTTTCTCCTTCTTCTTCTCCTTTTTCTCCTTCTTATTCTTCTCCTTCTTCTTCTTCTTCTTCTTCTTTTTTCTTCTCTTTCTTTCAACAAGTGTCCGTGCCCCCCTTCGCCCGCGTACGTAACTCGGGCCACGATGCGCTAAGCTCACCCTTTCCTGGCCCCCCTCTTCGGCGGTCGACGTTCGATCCACGCCCCTGCTGCTGTCCCAGGGGTGGGGGCAGGATATGGTAGTTTCGTGGTGTCGGCATTTGGAGGAGGTGGTCGGACGGGGCTAGGACGAGGATAAATCCGTTCAGTTTGTTTTTGGTTTCCCCCCCGGAACGCTCTGAGAAGGCCGCGGCGCCCGAGACATCTTCCAGAGCCCCCAGATCTCAGATATTCTCGATTTGTCATCACCTGATGTTGTCCTCGTCCTGGCTGCGTCCTAGGTTGTCGGGCTCCTGGACAGTCAAGCGAAAACTTCCTCGATGGGCTCCAGGAGATGCCCAGGAGCGGATTTTGGTCGAGAGGTTCAGGCCGTGAGGCATGGAGGCATGGGCACTGATCGGGGACGGCCAAGAGGGGGGCGATGACTGGGGGGAGGAAACGCGACCTGGACCATGATATCTCTCCAGATTTCCTGGCCCTCTTCGTAATACAGTCGGCCCAGATTAGTAGGTCGACCCTGCCAAATCAAGGGTACGCTTGTGTCCTGTGACTCGCGACCCATGCTTCCTACATTCCTGTGGCACCGTGGCCCTCGGAAGGGCCTTGTGTCCTCTCGCGTGTTCTGTCCAATCGAGTCCGACTATATTCCAAGGCGCCCCTCGGCCCCCCTGGGCCGCGTACGTGCCTCTGGCCATGGTTTTCGGACCCCCCTCTTGAACGCAAGCCAGTGCAGGGACCTGAAGGCACGCGTTCCTAAACGTGCTGCGCTCGGGCCTCTCTAATGGGCTTGTTTTCCACCACCACCACCACCATAAGTTGGACGGGGGAAGGAGGAGGAGGACGAGGAGGAGGAGGACGAAGAGGAGGAGGAGGAGGATGAGGAGGAGGAGGAGGAGGAGGAGGACCCCCTCCCCCTCCAACATATGGTGGTGGTGGTGGTGGTGGTGGTGGTGGAAAACAGGCCCATCACTCTCCCCGCCACGGGCGCGCAGATCGGCTGGGGACGATTTGTTGCTAATTTGTGTTATCAGTTTGGCATTTGTTTGACTGTTTTCAATGTTTCGTCCAAGCTCCGCTTGTAGGAGGACATGCCCGACCGAAATTTATTCGTAGTCTATCTAATCTGACGGGGGGATGGTTTTCCCAATCCCGTATTTCGCGGCACTGCCCGCCTCGTCGAGGCAGGCCCTGTATGGGCTGGTGCCCCGCGGGCCTGGACAGGCTCTTGTCCGGACTGGTGTGCTCTCTTCGTCTCTCTCTCTCTCTCTCTCTCCCACCCTCTGTTTTGCTTGATTTCGTTATTTCTTTCTTCCTCGCTCTCTGCCTCTCTCTCTCTCTATCTCTCTCTTTCTTCCCCCCCTGTCCCTGCCAGTCTTCCTCTATCTCTACCTCACTGTTCACCCCTTTCTGCCAATCTCTCGCTCCCTCTCTCTCTTTCTTTCTGTTTTCTTTCTCTCTCTCTCTCTCTTTCTCTGCCTCTCTCTTCAATCTGCCTCCTAGCATTCGCCCTGAAGGACGACCTGCAAAAGGGCTCCTGTGCCTCGTCGTCGTCAGCACCTTCAGGCGCACCGCGAGCCTCTCTGGCAGCGGACCGCCCCTTCGAGAGGACCCCGTGCTCTCGTAGGCCTTTTCCCCGAGCAGGGGCCCGGTCGGCGTTGTGGCAGGAGCGCCAAAGGTGACGAACACAACACACACCCATATACCCATAGAAGGGTCGGCGGGAGGAGGACATGCTAGGGGTATGGGTGCGGGTTGTCGGACCGCGGGGGAGGCTCCCGGTCATGGCCGCACGCCTGAGCCAGCGCTCGCGCTGCGACAGAGGTCGCGATGCAGGGTTTTGGGCTTTGCTTTCAGCCTCCGGGGGCCTCCGCCCGGGCCCCAGCAGCGTCTCAGCAAAACGGCGCGGGGTGTAGAGTTGGTCCCGGGCGCCCTTGCGGGCGCGGAGTTACTCGCGCTTCGCGCTTCGCGCTTCGGCTCCGATTCCCCCTCGTCCTCCTTTTCTCCCTGGGGGACGGCGCGAGAGCATGAAGGTACTCCCGCTTCGCGCTTCGCGCAGCGCGAACGGCGAAATTAGGCGCCGCTGTCCAGACCTCTGCAAGTTCACACGATGTGAAACAACCACGAAGGCGCCTTGGGCATTTTCCCGGGCTAGTTGGGAAGCATTCGCCCCCCTCGGCAGACGCTTTCTCGTGTGTGGGGTGCACGCTTGCCAGTCTACCGTGTAGCATTCGCCCCTCCCCCCTCCCCCCCCAGGGAGCAACCACAGCCGAGGCCTGAGTGGGCGGTCTGGAGTAGTTGGGCGGGCGCAGATAGGGTCGCTGGGAGATGCGCAATAGTACATTCAAAGTGCATTGTTGCGCGCAACCGAACGCAACTATTGGGGGGGGTGCGAACTATTGTATGGAACAGCATCTGTTGCTTTTGAAAGCAAAAAGAAGCATACAACCGCAACCACTCGCAGTGCATCCAACCCGCCCACGGTTGCATTCAGGCGTAGACTATTTCAAGTGCTTTTGCACCCCCCCGCCGCCCCATTTACGAAAGCCCCACTCTACACGCCAGTCGTTGAAGTAGGTATTTCTGGAGATCCAGATCCGAATCTATTGTCAACGCCTTCCTATTTCAGCTATAGACATGTTTTTGTTGTTTGTTTTTATTTGGGCGGGTGCGGCCCCTATCTACTTCATGCTTCCACCTACTTCTTCCGATTGGCGGGTGCTCTGGATTACAGGTCATCCGCGCAAATTTGCTTTGAGACGCTCTTCCGATCAAGCTGCAATACCGCTCGCGGCAGCGGGCGTCCAGACCTCCGCGGTGTCGCAAAAGAGGGGAGAGAGGATGGAGTTGTTCGCGGTGGCGGGGTGTGGCTCCGTGGAGCGCGGGGGCGCGGGGGTGAGGAGCGGAGAATGGGAGGGCCGGGGTTGGAGGAGGGAGCAAGGGGAAGAACCGGAGGGAGGAGAACAGGGGGAGGGACTGCTTTTTTTCACTGGCCGTCTTCCCAGTCCGGGACGGAATGTGAACCCTGCACGCGCCGCCAATCCAATCGGGCTGGTATACCTGTACGGGCTCATTGACGGAGGTTCACTTCCTTCGTGCCTGCTTTCGTTCTCTGACCCCCCCCAGAAGGTGTCTCGCGGCTACGTACTGGGATCTGGACGGGTGGGGGTAGGGCTCACTTGTGGTTGCCTGTTCCACACTGTGAAATCAATCGTGAACTCATGGCACCCCGTCCGGCGGGCCCTTCTCCCACGCTCGCCGAATTCCCGCCCATTCCCCCTCTCCACGATCCCCGCCCTCGACCCCGCAGGAGAGCCACTCCCTGGTTGAGTAGCCGGCTGAATCCGCAAACCCGACGCAGAAGGGCATGCCAGATATGGAGAAACTAAACAGGGGGCCCAAGTACAAGCAGTGTTTGGCATTGAATAAGTTCTCGCATCCATGATCTGTTTCTATATTTACATAGTGTGTATATGTATATGGGGAGAGTGAGAAAGCGAGAGAGAGAGAGAGAGAGAGAAAGAGAGAAAGAGAGAGAGAGAGAGAGACAGAGAGTCAGCCATGAAGACACATGTATCTACACAGATGTGTATACAGGTGTATATATATAATGAATACAGAGAGAGCGAGAGAGAGAGGAAACGAGAGAGACAGAAGGTGTAACAGACGGGATGATGCCGAACAGCCACATGCTGAGTTTCGTAGCGGGGGCGAGTCGGTCCTTGTGCCTCCGTTCCTTATTCCCCTGCGTGGTCCACCCTCCTTGCGCGCATCTAACGACCCGGAGCACTCCCGTCCCCTCCCCGGTCCGTGCGCAGGCAAGAAGCGCAGCCTCGCCAAATCGCTGCAGAACTACGACGTGGCGGCGCACTTCGACACGCACCCGGCGCTCACGCTGCCCCCCCTGCTCTTCCTGGCACGTCCCCGCGCGTCGCCGTGCAGCAGGTGCTGCTCCTCGAGTGCGCTTGTGCGCTTGTCACGGCAGAGATCCCTCCGTGATGTGCTGGGTCACATCCCTTCTCCTTTTGGAAAACATCCCGGGGCGGCCTGTCCGAGGGGGGCGGTCCGGTGGGGTTGTCCAGATGCCCGCTGGGTTGTCCAAGGGGGTTGTCCTGTCCGGTCGTTTTGGCGTCATGCGTCGGCACGGACTGTCCAGGTTGTTTGTGGGGTGTTGTCCCGGGCTTCTTTTTGTCACCGCCCACCAAAGCACCCCAACCCAACCCGAAGGCCCCGATTTGCCCTCCATTTCCAGTGGGGGGGGGGTCGGGGAACGTTGAAAAACGCATGTGCCCCGCCCTCCCCAACCCGAAATTCGGGTCTTGGGGTTAGGTTGGGGCGGTCTGGTGGGTGGTCATTTGTGATCGGAGGATCCTTCCGTTGAACACCGCAGGCTTGGAGGCGGAGGAGGAGGACGACCGCGCGCCGCGCCTCGCGGAGCGTGGTACTCGAAATCGGATGACCCAGAGGATCAGCCGCGCGCAGAGGGGGGTGGGGGGGAGGGGGGAGGGCTTCTCAGAAGCCCCCCTGCTTCTCAGAAGGCGCGGGCCTTATCTGTAGATGTAAGGCCGGCGCCCTCTAAGAAGCAGCCTCCTTCTAAGAAGCCCCAAGAAAATGCTCAGTATTATTCCTTTGAACATCGCAGGCTTGGAGGCGGAGGAGGAGGGCGATCAGGCGCCGCGCCTCGCGAAGCGTGGTCCTCGAGATCTGGTGGCCCAGAGGAGGTGCAGGAGGGGGGAAACCACAGACACAATTCATCGTCGATCCCCCAGAGGATCTGGGAAAGTATGGGAAGTGGGGGGGAAGCCGAACACCCAGAAAATGTTGGAAAATATGGGGGATCCTGTTATTTGTGTCTATTTATTTGTGCGTCCCAGGGCCCCTTCAAGGAGGTGGAGAAGGTGGACGAGCTCGGGAGCAAATCAATGGAGCCTTGTGTGTGTACTTTCAACATTCCGCTTTTCGAGTGCAGTGCCGATGGAGCGTCGACGAGCGTCGGTGAGCGTCGACTTGGTGTCGAGTCAGCGTCGATCAGCGTCGATGCGCAAGAGCCAACAAGATGGCATGGGGGGCAGCAGGGAGGATCAGCGGCGGGAGCAGCAGCAGTAGGACCATGACCACTATAGAGGAGGAGGAGGAGGAGGAGGAGGAGGAGGAGGAGGAGGAGGAGGAGGAGGAGGAGGAGGAGGAGGAGGAGGAGGAGGAGGAGGAGGAGGAGAAGGAGGGGGCGATGGGGAGGCCCCGGGGGCGTGGGGAGGGAGCAGGGGCCGGGAGGGGGCCCCGGTGCTCGGCGTCGGCAGCCAGTGGCCAGCAGCAGGAGCTGCTCGGGCGCACGTCCAACAGGCTGCGGAAGAAGCAGCTGGAGACGCAGGCCCTCGCGACGCCCATCCCCCCCTTCAGGGCTCATTTCGAGTCCTCCGACTCGACTGGATTCGATCTCGATCGAATCCGATTCTGATTCGGTTCGACTTCGGGTTCCGACTTTTGAGTTCGGTTTCTCGATGGAGGCTTAACCAGCCCGCCGATTTCCACCGATTCGACGTATCCCGACTTGGCTGCTGTCTCCGCCGATTCGATTCACTTCGATTGCCCATCGAACTTATCGATTCGATTCTGGGCTCTCCTGCCCTTGTTGCTCTCCAAGCCCCCCCCCTCTCTCTCCTTTCCAGCCCTCTTCTTTCCACGTCACAGGCGGAGGACAATGAGGAGGGGAGGGGACAGGGTGAACGAAAGTGAGTAGGAGGAGGGCGTCGGTTGAGAAACAGGAGGGGGAGTATGAGCATGAACGCGAGCAGGATGAGTATTAAGGAGGAAGGAATGTTGCAGTGACGGATTACTGATCTTTCGCCTCTGGCCAAAAGATCCGGTAAGCCGGTAAGCATTCTTATCAGCACCACTGGAAAGTCCCGTCGAGCGATGCATCTCCTTGGCAGGATGAGGACGCGGAGGAACCGTGTTGGACGGAGAGGGATGAGAGTTCGAGGGCAAGAGGGAGGGTGAGCAGCATGGGTGCACTGAAGGAGTGCGGAGGAGCGTGAGGAAGACGACAGCGATGGGGAGAAGGAGGACGGAAAGAGGAGCAGGGGGAGGGTCGGTCGGTCAGGTGTCCGCGAAGCAGCTCGCAATGCAAGCTTCAGCCGGGGGAGTGCGACAGTGAATGTATCTTCAGTCCGGGAGTGGGGGGAGGAGGAGCGAAGGGGGAGGACGATGACCAGGGAGGAATAATGCGGAATAGGGCAAGGGGTAGGATGAGGAGGAGTAGGGCGAAGAGGAGGAGGAGGAGGAATGAAGACCAGTGGAAACCGAAGAGTCATCAACGATGCTGGAATTAACCCTCCCTCCAAGCTCCCTCTTCATAGGCCCCTACAACGGTTCATTTCCATTGAGGGAACTGCCTCGTTGGAAGACAACAGTTTGAAGATCCTGAAGCGTGCCAGAACATTGTTCTCGGGATTTCAACGCCACATATCACCCTGACTGCTGCGTCTTGACGATCCAGAAGCGAATCAACATAACTGTTGCGCCCGCATAATCCTAAATCCTTCCAAAACCATGTTTGGTATGTTGATCATGGGACCCCGTGAAGCTCTGGCAACGTTTGAAAACGAGTGTGCGCGGCGCTAATGCGAGAGCCACATTTTCAAGACGACCCGCCCTCAACCCGTGAAGCTCTTGCAATTTTTGTTAAACGAAAGTGCGCGGCGCTGAGGCGAGAACCACATTTTCAAGTCGACCCGCCCTCAACCCGTGAAGCTCTTTCAAATTTTGTTAAACGTCTGTGCGCGGCGCTGAGGCGAGAGCCACATTTTGAAAACCACCCGCCCTCAATCCGTGAAGCTCTTTTGCACATTTTTTAGGACTATGCGCGGCGCTACGGCGTGAGCCACATTTTCAAGACTACCCGCCCTCAATTCGTGGAACTCCTGAACATGTTTCAAGCGAATCTGCGCGGCGCTAAGGCGAGAGCCACATTTTGAAAGCTACCCGCCTTCAACCCGTGAAGCTCTTGTAATTTTGTAAATCGAATGCTCGCGGCGCTAAGGCGAGAGCCACATTTTCAAACAGGGATCGCCCTCAAGCCGTGAAGCTCTTGTAAATGTGTAAAACGAATGTTCGCGGCGCTAAGGCGAGAGCCACATTTTGAAAAGGAATTGCCCTCAATTCGTGAAACCTGTTGCGTATTTTTATAATGAATGTGCGCCTCGCTAAGGCGAGAGCCACATTTTGAAAACCACCCGCCTTCAGTACGTGAAACTCTTGCAAATGTTTAGAACGAATGTGCGCGGCGCTAAGGCGAGAGGCACATTTCCAAGACTTCCCGCCCTCAATCCGTGAAACTCTTGAAAATGTTCAAACCGAATGTGCGCGGCGCTAAGGCGAGAGCCACATTTTCAAGACGACCCGCCCTCAACCCGTGCAGCTCTTGCAATTTGTTAAACGAAAGTGCGCGGCGCTGAGGCGAGAGCCACATTTTCAAGTCGACCCGCCCTCAACCCGTGAAGCTCTTGCAAATTATGTTAAACGTCTGTGCGCGGCGCTTAGGCGAGAGCCACATTTTGAAAACCACCCGCCCTCAATCCGTGAAGCTCTTTTGCACATTTTTTAGGACGAATGTGCGTGGCGCTAAGGCGAGAGCCACATTTTGCAAACCACCCGCCCTCCATCTGACAGACTCACTTTTTAAGCTTCAGTGCCAGGTGAGGAAGTCTCAGGCGAAACGCCCGGCCCGCCCGAAAAACTGGCCCCGGGGTGCGGCAGGGAGGAGTCATCTACAAGGAGTAGAAATCTAGGAGGAGGAGGAGGCTGAGGAGGAGGAGGAGGAGGAAGAGGAAAACGGGATGCTAAGTCTAAAGCCAGGCGGCCCATGATCAAGCGACATCAGACGGAGGATAGGTCCATGATCAGGCAGTCCATGATCAAGTGGTTCAGGAGCGTAGGTTGATGAGGTTGTTGATATGGGAGATGGTTAGCGTGCAGGCTTTCGCTGACGTGGCCGAGCTGAGTCAGGGCTCCAGAGGGAACTACCGCAAGCTGTTACATCAACAGGACTCCTTCGCCTTTCGGTCTTCTACCTCTTATTTCATCCTTCGCCCCTGCATTTCTATGTTCGACTGTCTGTCCGCTTCCTCGCCCCCCGCTGTAGAGGTGTTGAGCATGGAACTCAAACCAATCCTCGGCTTCTGTTGTATCCACGTCTTCGCCCTATGTTCTACCTCACCCATTCGACCTATTCCTGCCCTCCTTGCGATCTGTCGTGCCAAGCCTCGGAGCGGCCCCAGAGGGCCGAAGAGGGCCCCAAGACATTTTACGACCGCCCCTGAGAGTTGAGCGCGCCCGCTGGGCGCATCTCGCCCACTCCTCGACCACCCACCAGGCACACGTCGGCATCTGGCGAAGTTCCCCACGCCGTCTGGGTCAACTGCAGTATTGGTGCGCATGTCCGGCAACCGCCCGCCACACGCCCCCAGAACTCCAACGTCGTGTTTTTGTCCACTACGTGGACCCTGGGTGGCCTGAACCCCTTCCCAGGGGACTGGTTTTTCATCCCGCGCCCTGGTGAGGGTCCTGGAAGCAGAACGCTACCTAATGCCTTGCCCGCTCCCCCCCGGGCGCGCTCCGCGCGCCAGGGGGAGCGGTCCGCCGATCCAAGAATTCCGCGCTGACCTCTGAACGTTTATCTGATGCCGTCGTCTCTCATGCTAGAGTTGGAGGAGGAGGAGTTTCGAGGATGAGGAGACGTTGTTATGGGCAGCGGGAGAGCGTTTCTTTGGTTCTCTGGCGATAGTGGGCGTGACGGTGGAGGAGGGGCCGGAGGGGCACCGGGCACGTCGCGATTCGCGTCGGCGCCGTCATGTCATGCTTGCGAATGGCTCAGTCCAAGACGGCGCCAGCGCGAATCGTGACGTGACCAGAGGGTTGGACGGCGGTGGGGCGGGGCCGGTCACGGGCGTTCTCGCGAATAGTAAGAGAAAGGGCTCCAGCGGCAGCGGCAGCAGCAGAATGAGGAGCGTGTGTGGAGCGAGGTCGCGCAGACTGCACCATGGTCGACTGGCCCCCCCCTCCTCAGGAGCGCGCGAAGCGGCTGGAGCTGGTCCGCGGAGAGCTGGAGGACGGCGCCTTTGCAGTGCAGTCCAAGCTCGAGTTCATCTGAGTTGAGCGGTTTGGTTCATGCGCGACAGTTTCTGTTTCGAGCTGGGGTCAGAATTCCGTGAATGCGCGGGGGGACCGGGAGGGGAAGTGGGAGAAGGGATGAGGGTGCGGGGGAGCTGTGACTGGGACGGAGCAAGTGAGCCACCCCTGTTCCGCTCTGCTGCCATCTGGGTTCTGCCCCCCCGCTGCTGGCCCCGCTGAGGAGCAGGCGCATCTCCACAGCCGTCGTCAACAAAACTGTTGGGTCCCTCAGCTCCTCGCCTGCCCTCCTCATCGAAGTTCGTGATCTGCGGCGGGCCTCGACTGTGGCCTGAGGTGGGTAACAACCTCCCTGGCTGCGCTCTGCGGTGGGTGCATCAGTTTTGATTGGATCTGTTTCCAGGAAGTGGCGGGCACGCTCACCGGTTCTGGTTTCGGGCTGGTCTTCGTTGCCGCCAGGGTCTGTTGTTGGCTTGGGATGAACATGCTTTCGCCCTTGCCCAATGCCTCGGTGGTGCCAGTCGGTGCACTTCGCGAGCGCGTACTTTTTGTGCGCGCGTGGGTGCCCGCCAGCTTGCGCGCGAGTGTGCGAGTGTAAACGCGCGCCTACACGTGCAAACCATGCGTGCCCCCGACCGTTCTGCTGCTCCAGGAGGGCGGGCTGAGGCCCCTCCCTGCCGCTGCAGCCTGGACCCCGCCTTAAAGCAGTGCTGGGCTCGAGTTCTGCCGCGGCAGGGGGCAGCACAGTTCTCGGCGGCGAGCGAGGGGGGAAGCGAGAAGGAGAAGTCCTTCTCAGAAGGCGGCGGGACTTCTCAGAAACCCTCGCGCCTTTAAGAAGTTTTCTGCGTCTTCTGGGAAGTCTTGGAACACTTCTCAGAAGGCCAGGGGACTTCCGAGCCTGCTGCCGAAGTTCGGATATCGCCCGGTCCACGATTGGGCCCCGAGGCTCCCAGAACGGGCCCAGAATCGCCAATCAAGGTCCGCCGCAGCTGGTGTTTCTTCGGGTGACGGCAGGTACGGTTAGTGGAAGGGGGCGGCGGGGCATCCATAAACTAGGTGCCACTATACCCAGTCCCGCCAACGCTCGAACAGTAGCGGATCCGTCTCGTGTGGGGGCAGGGAGCGGGGGCATGGCTGCCTTCGTCAGTTGTCGCCTTCGCCGCGGTCGTCTTCGCTTCCGCCGTGGTCTTCGACGGAGTAGCCTTCGCCCGTGATCGTCTTCGCCCGTTCGTCCTCTCCCTTGGCCGTCTCCGCCCAGTCGTCTTCGCCGGCGTCGTCTTCGCCCAGCCGTCTTTGCGCGGCCGTCCCGACCAGTCGTCTTCACCCAGGCGTCGTCGCCCGACACGGCCCCCCTCCAGTTCGGGGGTCGGGGCCAGGGCTGTACCTGAACGCTGCACTGATGGGCTTCGGCCGTGTCTTGCTTTTCGTCTTGGCAGGGAGGTGCAGGAAAACGGGTAGAGAGCAAAACGAACAACAAAACGAACACAACACGCAACGTTTAGGTCCAGCCCTGGTCAGCCACGCGCATCGGGGGGTGGAGTCAGTCGGAGCGGGGTAGAAGATCGGGGTCGGCTCGGGGAGGGTACCCTAGTGTTCTTCGTGCTTGTTGGATGCTCTTGTGCACCCTGAGGAGGGTACCCTTAGATGCTCTGTGCCTGCTGGCCGGCGGAGGGACTGTAGGACAATTCTTATGTCCTCGGTTCTTTTGTCCTCGCTTCTTCACCCAGTTGTCGTCGCCCGACACGCCCCCCGCCGGCCCATCACCTTCGGCCCGGGAACTCGCCGGGGGTTGGCCCGCCCCAGCGGCCGCTTGCACGGGGCGCCCGTGCAAGCGGCCCCCGATCCGCGGGGGCCGGGCCCACCACGGGTTGGGCCGTGCTCGCGGCCACTTGCGCGGGGCGCCGCACCCGTGCGAATGTCCTCTGGCTTGAGAGTTGACGTCGCCCGACGCGCCCCCCCCCCCCCGGCTCGGGGGTCGGGGCCGCCCGCCCGACCCGCCCGCCAGGGGCCCCTCTTCTCGCGCGCAGGCTGCAGACCCGCCGGCTCCGAGGCGCCCCCACGGTGCGGAGGTCGGGGAAGGCCAGGGCCCCAGGTGAGGGGACCCGGCTGGTCGTAGGACCCCGGAGCCCCTGAGTTGTCGGGGGTGGGCAGAAGCCCCAATAGTGACACGTCGATTAGTGAATTGTCCGTTTTCGGTTCTCGAGAGGGCGCCGTGGCCGTCCTTTTCCAGGCTTGCGCCCGCCAGGTTTGGGCCTCAGGTCGTTTTCACTAAACCGCAGTTTACTAAAGGGGGTTCTGTCCATCCCCGAAGCTGGCCAGAATCACTAAACCAGGTCTGCCGCAGCTGGTGTCTTTTCGGGTGGCGGCAGCTCGGGTGAGTGGTTGACGGGCGGGGGGGGGGGCGTCCCCCAGTACAGATTATTGAACCAGGTCCCACTGAACCCAGTTCTGCCAACGCCCGACCTGTGCCAGACTCAAGTCGGGCACGTCCCTCTCTGGTAAAACATTGTCCGTTCTTTTTCTTTGTTCGGGAACGTTTGGACCATTTACGACTTTTGTTTTAATTCTGTTTCGTGCATGTTGTCCAACACCCGCCTGTAGGAGGACATGCCCGACCGAATGCCAGACCCGCCGGTCAGGGGCCGCCTGCCTGGCCCGCCAGTTCGGGTCTGCTCGCCAGACGTGCTGGTTCAGTCGGGTCCGCCCGC